GCGTAATTGTGCCATTTTGCATGTCGTGTTGAGAGTGTCCACTACTTCTTACACGTAGTTGGACGTGGTGACGCCCCTGGCGGGAACTTAGAGAAGAGGCTGTCTTCTATCTGTGACCTCCGCACGAAATTTGGGTATGACCATCGTTATACACCCGGCCTCACGGGATACAGCGGATCGGACCGAAGCGTATAATAGGACGCTATGATTACACTGACAGAGTCCCTCGAATGCGTGAGTAGTGGTGGATGGGAAGGGGTAGTGAATCGGTTGCTCCTTGTCGAGTATGCTTTGCACGTAGGTGTAGGCGGAGATCGATTGGAGGGTTTTACCGTAGGCGGTCTCTTCTAGGGGGTGGTTAGCGATTCCACATTAAACAAAACCGCGGCCGGATCGGATCCGGTAGTTTCTACGCAGGGGAAGCCCCAATACTCTGGGAGATAGAGTGGCCTTTTCTATCTAGGGAGCTTGCGCGAGCCCAGGCAGATGTATTTCGGCTTAGGTAGGTCTTTGCGCGCCGAAACATACGGTTCGATGCTTAATGTGGACCCACCACTCGGAATGGGCAAGCGGAGAGCGAGGTTGTCGTGGCCCCTCGGGGCTGAGCTGCCTCTACACCAGTGACACACTTCTGTGGTATGCGGAGGGCGTCAGCTTTTATCTTGAAAATCAAAACGTCCGATAAGGCCGAAAAGCCTAGGTGCGAACGTTAAAGATCTTCATTGTCTTTTAAAGGACGACCGAGTATACGAGAAAGCAATGTCCCTTCATTAACGGATGATTGGGTCTGTGGCGTACCGTCACCCTCACGAATTGACAAACTTTGATTGAATATGAGGAAAACTTGTTGAATTGTGTTAAGGACAAACGCAAGAGAAAACCTTCATTATAGGTCCATTGTATAAACTAATCGCAGAACAATTAAACCTATGACATGCCAGGACTAGAATTATAAGACTGTTAGACTACTTGCTGCACACTGCAGACTCCGAAAGCACGAAGACTTGAAGCGACAGAAAGAAGCCTGTGTTGACATTCCAGGAAGAAGAAACAGCGGAATATGTTTTCTGATGGCGTGAAGGTCTTTGCACACTGAGATCCCTTCTCTTGGTAGAGGAAAATGCAAGGCATGATGAATACAGACGAGACTTCATTACCTGAGCTTTGGAATCTGATAGAAAATCTTTAAACCTAACTAAAATCTCTTGATAATAATGGAGATTCCATCATTGGTCAATATTATTCGTGGCATGTCAAGTGTAAACAGGCCGAATCCTTTCAACACTTATAGGAACCAACATGCAGTCTTTTACGTTTTGTACAAAAGTAATACGACTGATTTTTCCATTCAGAACAACATTTCTATTTGAATTTAACTACTAAAAGAAACTATAACCATTATTTCAAAAAATAAAAACTAGACGAATTAGAAAAAACACAAACATATTTTCAAACTGTTGACCATATTTTTTAAAAATTAAATAGTGTAGTATTGGTAATGCACTTTTATACTTAGTTATTATATATGTTATATTAAGAATAATTTCCTGAAAAAAGCAAGATTTTTGAAAGATGATCAAATTCTTTTTCATATTTTTTTTTCTTTTGGCTTTACTAGACGATAACCGCCTATCTTTTAAAACATAATATGGATAACACTAAATTACAAAAATTGTGTTTTATTCCTATCTTTTGTTGACATCTTTATATTTAAAACACAAAATTTCTTTGATTCCTAATAATTTTTATTTAAATTGGAGCTGTATTAATTCAAATGTCTTTAAAGTATGTATTCGTTTATTTCTTATTTTGACCATTGTTGTTCTCATATTTATAGTATTTAATAGCTTTACTTTCTCGTATTGAAAAGGGTTTAAATTGCACAAATTGTATAAATTGTAAAATTGAACAATTTGCTCAGTCTGTGAGGGGCTGTATTCTACCGGCCGATGACAAAACCCTCCAATCGATAGGATCCCGGGCAAATGTATATGATTCAAAAATCAAGTAGCGTTGTTCAATGTAAACATTAATGTTCATGTTATTATTTCACAAAATATTGTTAAATTTGGTTGTTTGAAAAAGATCAATTGATTTATGCAGCCACCGACGACCCTATCTACCAGTATGGGTCTGTGTGATTGCAGTGAAATCAAGTCTCTTTTAAATGTGAAGAGGGATGGGGTGTTAGTTTTTAAATTGTTATAGTGTTTAGAATGGTGTGAAATAAGGAAGTCAAGGATGATCGATAACGACCAATAAATATTTCATCACCTCGCTGACCACTTTATGAAATCCAACTGTTTGAAATATTCACTAGTTTTCGTGGTCCGTTTGACCAATTAATTAAGGTTTTTAGTTGAGATAAAAAAAGTCAATGCCACAAGCGGGATTCGAACCCACGACCTTCGGCTAGATACGCCGTTGATCTACCACATGAGCTATCGTGACTTCGATCCACTCGGACACTTTCTCGTCTCAACCCCACCTTTTAAATTTTCCCTCCTTTTCGCAATTTTTCAAATATCTAATCTCTTTGATTCTCGTCAACAAATGAATTGATTTTTTTTTACATATTACATTGTTTCCTTATATACAATTAATCCTAATTGTGCTGCTTATACAAGATCATAAAATTATCCATTATTTGATATTTCAAAATTATGTCAGTGATTGTTTCAGACATATTATAGAATAAAAGTTTATATTCTTATATACAATATATTTTGAAGGGGTGAGGAAGAAAGTCGGGAATAGAAAGACTTTTTATATGAGGAGCCGGCTTCTCTGAGGTGAAAGGAGCCGACAATTGGAAAAATGGGGAATTATAATATATATATNTATATATATATATATATAAATAATAAATTCATTTTTTTAATCTAAAATTTACTAGCATTGTGTAAATTCATTTTTTTCACATTCTAGATATATTTGCAAAATTTAAGCAATGCTTGTAAATCCCAGGCCCTGAAGATGATCTTAATAACGATGGAAACTTACAATTAATTAAGGTTTTTAGTTGAGATAAAAAAGTCAATGTCACGAGCGGGATTCGAACCCACGACCTTCGGCTAGATACGCCGCTGCTCTACCACTTGAGCTATCGTGGCCTCGATCCACTCGGACATCAACTTCCCGAATCCCGCTCGTGCCATTGACTTTTTTATCTCAACTAAAAACCTTAATCAATTGTAATATATTAATTGGTCCAGCGGACCACGAAATTAGTGAATTTAAAGATGGAAACGTTGGCATGATAAAGAAAATGTTTTTCTAAAACCTACTTCACACCAGACCGCATCTCAAGACTTTCAAATAATAATCTAAATAATAAGAATAATTCAAATTTTTTAATGCGATATTTTTGTAACGATTTTCTTAAAAATTTATAATATCGACTAATTGCTTCAAAAAAATTGTTTAAGCACTCCTATTCGTTGGAGTGTTGTTGGCCTTCGCTCAGGTGCGCCCTTTACAGTCAAGTCATGGGGATTGACTCACGGAATCGTATTATCCCGGTAATCACTTAAGAGGGTCCAACCCTCTTTTTGTTTTATTTTTACTGGCGGAATGTTCTACCTGGTTAAGGGATCCGATTGGATTTTATCCAAAATAACAAAGACTTTTTTTCCAGTAGTTTTATTATTTTAATTTTAATTTTATTTTATTTTTAATAAAATACAAGATATACATATTGTATAAAAGTTTTTTCAGGTATACAATTTTACATAAAATTTTCACATCTTTTGTACTTTCAAATTTAAAAAATCTATGATAAGGCTAATTTTGGTAAAAACGAAACAAAAAACACTAGTTCATTTGTCATGTTTTGGACCAAAGATCCACCTCAGGCAGAATATTTGCAGATACGTGGTTTACCATTGTGAGAAAATTCTGTAGTTTTCGTGGTCCTCTTGACCAATTAATATATTTCAATTAGTTAAGGTTTTTAGTTGAGATAAAAAAGTCAGCGTCACAAGCGGGAATCGTACCCACGACCTTCGAATTTGAAAAATGGCAAAAAGGAGGGAAAATTAAAAAAGGTGACGTGAGATGGGAAGTCGAGTGGATCGAAGTCACGTTTGCTTAAGAGGTAGAGCAGCGGCGTTCGAATCTTCGAATCCCGAATCGAGTTCGAAACTTCGAATACCGAATTCGAATCCCCCGGTTCGAATCCCGCTCGTACGCTGACGTTTTATCTCCACTAAAAACCTTAATTAATTGTGAAAAAATGTTCATGTTGTCTTCAAAGTCCTGATGAGCGGGATGTTTTCCTCGAAAGCTTGAGGAAGAAACTGATTGTGAGTGTTTTTTTGCTTTCATATTGGCCTTGTGCATGATGTTTCCTCATGTTTTACATTATATCCATTTCGAAAAAAGTGATGAATTTTTTTAGGCAACCCCTTATAAGTATAAAATCATCTAGAGTAAATGTGCACCATGAAATGCTAAATCATACGATAAATAACCCAGTTCGCTGAGTTATCTAAAACCTCAGACACTTGTATCATTATTTTAAAATTAAATTTTTCTGAAAAACGAGACGTTTTTGGCTCATCTTGGTTATGTGATAGATTGTATTTTTTATGGATTGGTCAATAATCTTTTTAGCATTGAAATAAAGGTAATAATCAATTTTATTAGATTTGGATAGGCCGCTGCCCTACCACTTGAGCTATCGTGACTCGATCCATTTGGACACTAACTTCCCATCTCAACCCCACCTTTTGATTTTTCCTTCCTTTTTGCCATTTTTCAGAGTAGAAAAGTAAGAAGTAGAAGGTCGTGGGTTCGAATCACGCTAGTGACACTGACTTTTTATCTCAACTAAAAACCTTAATTAATTGAAAGATATTAACTGGTCAAGCGGACCGCGAAAACTAGTGAATTTAAGAAGTTAAAAAAAAAAAAAAAAAAGATTACTTAACTTCAATGTGCCTTTTCATTTGTTTACGTTGTTTGATTTTTAGACGTAACTTTTATAATTATTTTTTTAGCTTGATATCGGTGAAGATATTTACGTTCTAAAGAAAGACGACAGGATTCCATTATTTAAAAGATCTGGATCCATCCACAAGAGTAAAAAAGTATTTAAAATTATTATATACTCTTTATAAATGAAATTTAATCCAATTGTTTTTCAGGTCCCTTGGATTGAAAAACAGGTCCCGATGAAAAGAGAAAAAAGAGGTATTTTCTCCTGGCTTCGAAGCAGATATGGAAGAGAGTTTAATGACGATCTTTGGGGCAAAGAGTGGTACATTGTTAGTACAGGATAAACAAAGCTACAATTCATATTTTTGCCAAAGAATTTAAAAAAATATTTGTTCGTATTTCTACGAATAAGAACATAACGAATAGATATATAAAAAATTACAAAATCCTTCTAGTAAATTAGGCCAAAATAGTTTTTTATTGGGAACAAAAATTTGCATTTATTTTAAACTACTTTTAATCAATACGAATTTTATCATACAAATAATCCTCATTTTTTAGTTAAATCCCTGGAGGCCTGGAGCATTGTTTATTTCACCGATGACCGGGGTTCTAGTTAAAAAAGTATTAATCTTCTGGATTTAATACAAATTCCATGGTGTTATAACCGTTAGAAAACTCCATTGTCTTTTAACCTCTATCACCCTTTGAATTATGCGCTATTCGAAGACAAAAGTATATATAAAATCAACAGAAATCTATAAAATGTTTTATTTTATATCTAAGGTTCTAATTACAATTAGAGCCTTTTTTTTATTTTTTTATTTAACGAGGTTTTGCAACAGCAAAGGTTATATCAACCCTCGGGGGGCCGGTGGTTTTGAAAAAAAGCCCGTTTGTAAGGGCCGCTGGATTCGAACCCGGGACCTTTACCTTACAGTGATGAGCGCCGTGTCAACGCATAAACCGTTGCGGCCACCGACGCCCCTTCCCTTGATATTTGGTTCTAAATTCGTCCAAATTATTTTATATTGAAAAAAAAATCCTATATTAAAATTAATAAATATAGGATAAGGATGGATTTGATTTATATCTATTTATTTTAAAAAAATTCAAAATCCAAAAGACTTTTAAAGAATAGGAGGGACAAAATTCTGTTTGTTGAAAAAATAGGATTTATTTTAAAGTCAAACCCTTATATACGAATTTTCCAGCAAACACAAAATTTAGCTATTTGGTTGAGATTCGCCCAAGCATTTTTTTAACCGGGTTACAATTAAACTACATTGATTTTTTAGACATGTCCAATATTCCACGTGGTTAACACAGTTGGGATATATATTATTAGAAATACGAAAAATTTGGGTGGAGTGAACATAAATCTCTCAAATATATTTTAAATTTTCAATTCTAATGGCGCTAATGAATAGCGACCAGATTTATGCTATTAAGTGTAGGTTCAAAAATGTCAAATCTTTTAAAACGTTTACAATTCTAATCTCATCTATATTCCTCCAGTCCTTTCAAAGGTATACTATTGTTGTGATTTTCCAAAAAAAATGTGTAAGGCATGTTACAAGTCTTATTTTTCCAAACATTATATTCAGAATTTTCAGAACGAATTAAGTTTGTTTTTTGCTACAACACACTATGATTATTCGGAAATCTTTTGATACGGTCTAGTGTGACGTAAGTTCCAGAAAAATATTTTGTTTATCATGCTAACGTTTCGATCTTTATTAAGATCATCTTCAGGGCCTCGGATTTACAAACATTTTTTAAATTTAACAAATACATGTAGAATGAGGAAAAAAGTGAATATATACAATGCAAAAAATATTTTTTATATTCAATCAAAATATTTCTACTCACTCATAGTGTTTGTTTTCTTCGTAATTGTGCCATTCTTGCGTGGCGTGTTGAGAGTGCCAGTGAGATATTGATGTTTTATGTTTATATCCGTTGGATTTTGAAGGGGTGGGGAAGGAAGTAGGTTTAGAAAGACATTTTTGTGTAAGGAGTCTTTTCACCTCAAACGACGATGGGAAAAAACTGGTTGGTAATGGTTCGTCCAGATTATCCATTCAGGATTATATAGATGGGGATAAACAGAAAAAAGAAAGTTAAATCGTTGAAAAACCAGACTATGTAAAAATGTTTGATGTGTGGAATGTGATGAATGTTTTATATGTTATATTAAATGTTTTGTGTGATGTGATGAAATTTGTATGTTAGCGATATTGAATGTGATTAATGATATTGGCGTAACTGCGACTGAGTTTACATGTGTCTGTTCTGTAATTGATGCTGTGTTAAATTTAAACAATGTTTGTAAATCCCAGGCTCTGAAGATGATCTCAGGCACTCTCAACACGACACGCAAGGATGGCACAATTACACAGAAGACAAACATTTTGAGCCCTGAAGATGATCTCAATAAAAGATCGAAACGTTGGCACGATAAAGAAAATGTTTTTCTGAAACCTACATCACACCTGACCGCATGTCACGATATCTGAATAACGATCTCAATAAAGTTCGAAACTTAATTATTCAGAAATCGTGAGATGCGGTCTGGTGTGATGTAGGTTTCAGAAAAACATTTTCTTTATCGTGCCAACGTTTCGATCTTTATTGAGATCATCTTCAGAGCCTGGGATTTACAAACATTGTTTAAATTTCACACAGCATCAATTGCACGGGGACTTTTTTGCTGAAATGCAGACAACACAAGCCCCTGAAGATGATCTCAATAAACATCGAAACGTTGGCACGATAAAGAAAATGTTTTTCTGAAACCTACATCACACCAGACCGCATCTCACGATTTCCGAATAATCATAGACATGGTCACTAATCACCACACATAACACATTATTTTAACCTACTTTGCTATGTCGCGAGGTCACAAATGATGTATTTTAATATCTGATATACAAATGCAATTTTCAAGATATGACTTAATTCGGAATATAACTGATTGACTGATTTGACAGATAAAATCTAACAATCAGAACTATTACTAGTGAAACGAATCAGTTCTTGTTTTTCTACTCTTGCAAGGAAGCTTCATTCTTCGTAATTTTAGTTTTGGATTGTTCTAATATGTTGATAGCAAGATTATCGAAGTCTTTCCTCACTGCCGGTCCTGGATTTAAACGTCGTCCCATGCTACAGAGAAGGTGTAACAGGGAAAGGGGTCAACGTTGTTGTCGTAGACGATGGACTCGAGAAAGACCACGTCGATCTCAAACCCAACTATGTGAGTGAAGTAATTATCGTATAAATTATACATTACCCTTGAAATAAACACTATGTTCGATTCAAGAAATACACTTCTTAGCAAAAGAAGTGTCATTTTGGGATATAATGAAATTGTACGATATGGTGACCTAGACTAATTGTGGAGTGGAGATTTCAGTTTAATGACCATTATTATAGGCGATGAAGGGTTTTTAACGTATAAATGTATAGTGTTTTGTTATGAGAGATTGCCAATAAGTTAGGTATTATGTAGCAGTGACTTTCTCACAGAATTATCACCTAGAAAAGGCTAACATGAAGATCAATATTTCCTCAGTAGGTATAAATGGTTACAGGAAAAAGCTGAGAAAATATGACATCATACTAATCGTTATAAAGCAATAGTTTGGATAAAAATATTATTCAGGCGGGAATACAAAAGCTCCTTATTGGTACTAACAGGTTTCATCGAGTGACACAGGAGTGATGAGCCCTCGCCAACCATGCACTTGGTTCAAAACAACTCTCCTACGCCCCCGAATCTATACGGATTTGTAAAAACACATAAACTCGAACACACTCTAAGACCCATAATTTCATTTGGAAATTCCCCTACATATAACACGATAAAATAGCTAACCAACATACTCAACAACATCACAGATAACACATATAACGTCAAAGATTCATTTCATTTCATTAACAAAATTAATAATTCCTTAAATTCACTAATTTCGGGTCCGCTTGACCAATTAATATATTAAATTTAATTAAGGATTTTTAGTTGAGATAAAAAAGTCAATGGCACGAGCGGGATTCGAACCCACGATCTTCGGCTAGATACGCCGCTGCTCTACCACTTGAGCTATCCTGTGAAAAATGGCAAAAAGGAGGGAAAATTCAAAAGGTGGGGTTGAGATGGGAAGTTAGTGTCCGAGTGGATCGAGGTCACGATAGCACAAGTAGTAGAGCAGCGGCGTATCTAGCCGAAGATCGTGGGTTCGAATCCCGCTCGTGCCATTGACTTTTTTTCTCATATTAAAAAACCCTAATTAATTGTAATATATTAATTGGTCAAGCGGAACACGAAATTAGTGAATTTAATGATTTAAAATGAAGTATACTTCACTAAATCTCTCCGTGGCTATTTCATTTGTCGTCGAGAATCCAATCCGATTTCACGACATTTGAAAATAGGCAAAAAAGAGGGATTCGCAGCCATGTAATTATGTTTAAATTTTTTTGAATATTAATATGGCTTTTCTTATGTTTTCATTTTCTTTTTTCAGTCATGCTTGAAGGTTGGAATATCTGCAATGTATGTTGAACATTAAATTTGAATTTACTATTTTTCGTGGTCGGCTTGACGAATTAATATAATTCAGTTAATTAAGGTTTTTAGTTGAGATATAAAAGTCAGTGTCACGAGCGGGATTCAAACCCGCGACCTGCATGGAGAAATTTAGTAGTATAGTGGATCGAAGTCACGATAGCTCAAGTGGTAGAGCAGCGGCGTATCTAGCCGAAGATCGTGGGTTCGAATCCCGCTCGTGCCATTGACTTTTTTTCTCAACTAAAAAACCTTAATTAATTGTAAAAATTAATAATATTCACATCCCATTACACTATCCTTCATATCCGTAGATGTTTCATCATTGTTCACCAACATTCCAATAGACATAACACTGAACATTATTAAAGATAAATGGCCCAACATAACACCACACACAAGTCTATCAAAGAACACGTTCATAACAATGGTTCGACACAGCTGTGTTAACGGATATTTTACATAGGACAATCAATTTTTCAAACAACTATTTGTTATAGCCATGGCCAACCAACCTAGCCGATACTTGCGGACATAATTATGACACATCCATTAAACACAGTCATACCACAACATCCTTTCACTTTACCCTTTCACTAAATACGTAGATGATAAATTGACAGCAGTTCCCACAGATCAAATTCAAACTACATTAGCTACATTTAATAGCTTTCACCCATGCTTAAAATTTACACATGAAATCGAAAACAACAAAACAAATCCATTTTTAAATAGACTCGTAATAAAACAACCAATAAATTAATCACAGATTGGTATCAAAAACCAAAAAACACAGATCGCTACCTCAACTTTATATCTCACCATCCTCTTCATACAATAATAAACACAGCCAAAGGGTTACTTCACAGAATTATCACCCTAAGCCATTAATAGGGTAATAATTGCTCATAGCAATGGTCTCAAGTGAAGTTTTTATAAGGACTGCGGAACTGTGTAGTGAGCTGGGAGAAAAAGAGAGAGAGAAGAAATAGTTGTTTTTCATTTTGGCTTTCAGCCAAATAAGACAAAATGATGATGAACAGAAGGGTCTATACTAGCCATGACGAGTCCTCGTCAGTATCAGTCGGAGTAAAACTGTTCTATGAAATTTCAAATAACCATAAAAGATCAAAAATTAATAGGTGGATGAAATTAGACTAGAAAATTATAATCTAGAGGAATCTCCTCCCTTTGGGGCAGAGAAAAGCAAAACGCTTTGTTAAAACTGATATACGAAGATACGATGTAGTTAGCACAATAGCAGATCCGTGTTACACTTACTGGTCTTCCTTGATACATAATACAGATTGATACATAATATAGATTATGTACGTTCGAGCAAGTATTGTATTTTAAGCCAAGCAACAGCAATGTCATTATATATTAAGCTTAATTAGGAATTTTTATATTCATGGATATACAAAAGCTTCCGTAAATAAATTGGAGTGATACATTTAAATATTGCTAGGCCCGACTTGAATAACATAAAATGAGAGAAAAGATTCAAAATTTTATTGATTCATTTTGAACTTCAGTTCAACTTTATTATACATTCAAATTTCTTTTCATATTATGTTGTTTCATTTTGTATTATTTTATGTCAAAGTACTCTAGTGTGTCGAGTTTTTAATATGAATTTATTAGTTATACTATTCTTCACAGAATCCGGAAATAAGTTACGATTTCAACGACGATGACCCAGATCCAACGCCGAGATATGACGAAAAGGGCAGCAACTCACACGGGACGAAATGCGCTGGAGAAATCGCCATGGTGGCCAACAACAAAGTTTGCGGAGTTGGAATAGCCTACAACGCCAGTATCGGAGGTGGAAAAAGTTTTTATTTATTATTTTTAATTTTTATTTTTTTAACTCGCGAGTTTGCAGGGCTAAGGGTTCTCGACGGGCTCACGACTGATATGGTGGAAGCAATGGCCCTCTCATATAGACTGGATAAAGTGGACATATACTCCAACTCGTGGGGCCCCTCGGATGATGGAATTACAATGGCGAAACCGGGGAAACTTCTTCAGCTTGCTTTAGAAAAAGGAATAACTAAGGTATTAAACGCTTACTGACTTATTTTCCCAATTTTTTAAAATTATTGCTAAGTAGAGTCATGTTTTACATATATGCCGTGAACAATGAAGTTGGGAATCGAGAGGTGCACTCCCGCACAACCTGATCATATCAAAAAATGAAGGATTTAAACAAACAGCAATACTCATTAGTTTTCGTGGTCCACTTGACCAATTAATATTTTTAAATTAATTAAGGTTTTTAGTTGAGATAAAAAAGTCAGTGTCACGAGCGGGATTCGAACCCACGACCTTCGGCTAGATACGCCGCTACTCTACCACCTGAGCTATCCCGACTTCGATCCACTCGGACACCAACTGTGAAAAATGGCAAAAAGGAGGGAAATTTCAAAAGATGGGGTTGAGATGGGAAGTTAGTGTCTGAGTGGATCGAAGTCATGATAGCTCAAGTGGTAGAGTAGCGGCGGATCTAGCCGAAGGTTGTGGGTTCGAAACCCGCTCGTGACAATGACTTTTTTATTTCAACTAAAAACCTTAATTAATCGAAATACAGCAATATGTTATAAATAAAGAAAAATCCGACCAGGAAATTATTGTTTTTGAAACTTACACTTTTTCATTATGGAACATGTAAAATCTAAATCAAATGAAATTCAATAACATAAAGGCCGCTTAATTTATTAAGTTTCAGACCTCTGTAGAAAATAATCCAACTATCATTAAAAAAACGTATAGGGTCATTGTTTGATATGGATAGGAAAAACTACAGGGATTCTCATTAGTAGAAGAACAATAAATTACCTTTAAATCGCCGGAATTGATGGTAGATCAGGATGATAAAACCCTTTTGTCTGTGAACATGACAAAACATGAATGTGAGTTGGCCTTTTTTTGTAAGAATTGTGGAAGGGTTGGATAAATATAAAGAACGACAAATAAATTGACACGAAGTTGTTTTCTGAGTTTTTATTTAATAAATAAATTATTATTTTTTTTTTTTTAGCCAGCAGTGTAATAACATATTACTGATTGTTTTTCGAATGGGTCGGCCTCACCACGTAAAAAACTGAGCTTTCACAATTTACCGGCCCGCTAGGGTTTCAACACGTTGCTTTATACCCGACGGTTAACCAAACGTGGTATGACAAATTATGGTTAGGCCATCATCCCTCAACCGTCGGTAATGGCCTGTTTGCCTTGGACTTAAGCCATTACTCGTCGAGCGTTCAGTACTTCGCCACACAACGGCAAAGATAAATTGCAAGTATTCCAAATCTTCTCCCATTAGAATGCCTGCGACAGACGACCTTTTACTCAAGGTTACCCCGCTAACGGTAAAAAGGAAAAGTTAAGTTGATAGTGGATTATATCACATTCAACACATTCAATGTAACAGATACACAATTCAATCACCTTTATAGTTTTGTATATTTTTTACCTTTCACATCTTTCATCGTGTTCCCTTCACTCCTTTTACTCCTTATAGTTTCCCCGTTCTGCTAGCGTTCTCTTGGTCTTGGCATTTCTGAATTGCACCCCTTTCTATTGAGAATATATTCGTATACAGGGTGAGTCATTTTTTGACCACCATTGGAAAATCAACGCGGGTGCGTTTAAATCTGACTCGAGGCTTATTTCCTTTGATTAATACGTTAATAAAAGAAAGTGAATCAATTTTCGGTGCACCATAGGAAAATCAAGGGCGGTGCATCTAATTATGACTCGGCACATTTTATTTTGTTAGTCTCGTACCAAAAAATAGCCGAGTCACTTTTCGACGCACCATTCGTTACAAATTAGCTTTAGTGCGTTGGAAGGAAAATAAACAAAACCAATATTATTAAAACATTATTCAAACACAACGTAAAAATTAAAAAAAATTTTCACAAATTAATCTGATTAAGGTTTAAGAGTATTTTTTTCGTCCGGTCATCGTTTTACGATAGCCTAGACTACTGTGTTGCAGCAAATGGAGGTCTGTTCGAACAATTATTATAATGATTTTGAACATTTTTGATTTTCTAACAAAGGAGATTGTTACATTTTTTTTACTTTACCAGAAACAAGGAGATTGTTATATTTATTTAATTTTTTTACTTTACCAGTAAAAATACATTGATTTTCCTATGGTGCACCGAAAATAGACTAACTTCCTTTTTTTAACGAATGGTGCGTCGAAAAGTGACTCGGCTATTTTTTGGTACGAGACTAACAATATAAAATGTGCCGAGTCATAATTAGATGCACCAACCTTGATTTTCCTATGGTGCACCGAAAATTGATTCACTTTCTTTTATTAACGTATTAATCAAAGGAAATAAGCCTCGAGTCAGATTTAAACGCACCCGCGTTGATTTTCCAATGGTGCGTCAAAAAATGACTCACCCTGTATATTTATGTTTACTGTATTTTATGAGATCTGCGGAGTAACGAAACTGTACTTTGGTTGTTTTTGGTCAGTTTAATCTCGTGATTTTTGTCCTACAAACCTGCTCAGCTTTTCAGCATAAGCACGGTGGCATTTTTGTAATTTTGGTTAGCCGAGAAAGAACGGCAAACTAATCTTTATAAAAATGTAGCGTTTTTTGGCAGTAGAATGAATAAATTCGCTCTTTACACACGCATATTTTTCCACTTCATGGAAAAACACTGAATTGTTATAAAAACATAGCCAGTACATAGCCCTACTTAACCGAACCTACCGTCTCTTAACCCAATCTAACTTAACTTAAACTATTTCTTCCCTAATCTTCCGCAACTTAATCTAAACTAACCTAAATCAACCTAACCTTCCCCCTAACTGTAATCCTTATTGTATTACTAACCCTAACGTACCCTAACCCTACTTACCCTAACTTACCACATAGCAATCACCTTAGCCCTACCAAGACCTGACACTAATCTTATCTAGCCTACCCGTTTCTAACATGAAAGTGGACCATAACCTAGCATTTTTTAAACTTACCAACTTAACTCGTATTTAGGCCTACTCCTACACTTAACATACCATAACTATAACTGACATATAGTAATCTGGAAGGTCTTTAACCCTAATACTTCTTAATCAGTCCCTATCCCAAATCTAAGCCTAACTACCAAGTATTTAACAGAACCCCATCCTTGAAATTAACCATTAATTTAACCGTCTCTAACCCTACTTAGCCCAAACGTTCCTAACTTAATCTCAACAAAACGTCCTGGTATCTTCAAAAATAGATGACGTAAATAATGAGTATCTTGCCCAAAACGAAGACAATGAAAATGAGGACAATTCGGACTTTCACCCCGAAGAGTTGTCACTCTTCGATGAGGTGACCCTAGTATACACCAGGCTTCTCCCTCATTATGTGCTTGGGACGCTAGTACCCCCCAGCTAAGTCATTTCGGCCCAAAACGCACGCACACTGTAATCTATCCTAATATCAACGAAATTAGATAAGTCAGATGTTCCCATCTTTACTCATGGGCGTTAAGACTCATGACGATCTTTAACGTCCGGACTTATCACCAAGGGGACTTCTCAGACGCCTTCTGGAAAGAACACCAGGAAGATTTTACATGCATGGACTTGTCACATCCCTTGGACAGCGAGATGGTGCAATACTAGCCAAGTTCATCCATACATGTGTCCAACACAACCTTTTAGCCATGCCTTTCACCACCCCCGGAGAGATAGAGAAGGCACTCTACGTCTGGCTCCGGTTGGCCGGTACCCTCCAGCTAAGGTACAATTTGTTTACAAACCACGACCACCACGAGACCAACCTCAATTAGTGGAGCCGCTTGGATACTCCACTCCGTTCAGTATTATTTTTAAGGTGGGACTAATCATACGAACTCCCTACTGATGCACCCGTTGCTTGAGGGGTGCGGGTTCAGTAACCCAGGAATCCTCTGTCAAAGCAGAGAGTGGAGAGTGAGAAAAAAGGAAAGGAGTAGGAAAGGTAAGGAAGGTAATAGGGATAATGCCTCCATCATTGGTTACCCCCAGGCACCAGGTTGATGGTCGGACTTTGCCTGGGCCCACAGGGAAGATGTCCCTGTGGGTAGTATTAGTTATAATTTATCAATTAATTAGTTATAGTTATAGAATTAGTCAGAATTAGAATTAGATAAGTCAGTCGCACAAATAAATGCATTCATATTTATAAATACATTCATGCATTCCATTAATTTTGATTAGTCGGTGAATTACTCGATATCCCGCCATCGACACGATCACACACACTGCTGGAGGGGCGATGGTGGCGCTATATTCATCATGACCCCTCATCATTCACAATTAAAAATACAAGCATTCAAACAAAACACAAGTACAAAACACAGAAGAAAACTATATACAATAGAAAACCCCTACGTCGTCCAAAAATCGGAACCGCAGACCTAGAAACCCTCTACAGTGGCCGCGAAGCATTCTTAAATTCGGCGGCATGCCTACACGCTCTCTGTAAGGAGGCAAGCCACGAAAAGCTTGTATTATCCACACACATCCACCAATCTATTCATAAAGGGCGTCTGCGCAGGCTTTGACCCATGAGCAGGTTCCAAGTATCTACTAATGATGATTCCTAGTCTGGGGCACTCTGGGGACCTCATAAACATAGTGCTGTTGACACATAAGAGCCTCTCGGACGACCCCGCCCGTTGCCATCTTTCTGTTAAGTGTTTGTTAAGAACCAGCTTGGCATTGATTTCGTGTAGATATTTGTGAAATTCTAAGATGTATGGTTCAACCGAGAATTTATTTTTGATGGCTTCAAGGCCACCCTTCGAATCAAAGGAAATAATGGCATTACAAATTCCTTGCGATTCCTTTATAATGCTCAAGATTTTATGATTCCATGAAGTTCAGCTGTATATATGCTAGCCTCATCCGATAGAGACCAGGTGAGGTTTACTCATCAGCACGTATCCCACTCCGTACATCAATTTCATTTTTGGACCCATCGGTATAAAAAACTTTATAATTGGGAAAGCTATTTAAAATTTGCAAGAGATTACCATTAGAGAAGGTGTTTCGA